TGGGGAAAAACCGTAGTTAAATATGCAGCAATCGAATTTAAAACGACATCTCTAGTCCGATCGCAAGGAAAAGCTCAGGCCCTATAGGTGACGAGGCGGCCGGTTTGCTTCCTCGTTACCACCAACTCTCATGTGGTCCGGTTAAATAATATTGTGCTTCGCCAAGACCTTAAGCCTATCAATGCACTCAAAAACCAAGCAGGACTTGACCAAGGCTGTTGAAAGGGCCTTGAGTGCCGCCTGGCTATCTTTCAATATTATAATTTTCCCATTAGGGCAATTCCTACGCAGGTAAATCTCTACACACAGACTAATGGCATATACCTCCGCCCGAAAGATATTCTCACGGGTACCGAGAGCTCTAGTCTTGCTCTACTTTGAATATCCTTTGAAGTTTATTTTGTACAAGTATAGGCAAGTTTGCAACTTTAGTCAGACCGATCGTCACATATTCTGTTGTAGAATGGTGGGTTAGGAGCATAGTTTAGGCATTCCGCGTGCTTTGAGTATCTGCAATGTCAGGATAACCTTATAGTGACTGTTGTATTTGCTACCCCTGTATTTAGGATTTATGATGATTAGTTAGTTTTGTTGTTATTGTGATACGAATTTTTTGAAGGTTGCCTAAACAAGATGAATCGTTTTTTACCCGACATCGCAAACTCATATCTGCAGTCCCTTTGGAAAAAGGTACGTTATTGGCTCTTTTTTAGGGGAAGTCGGCAAAGACTCTCCATGCCGACTGCTACCCTTAAGCGTTACTTAGTATAATAAGCCAAGCTGAAAGAAGAACACAGCAATGTGCTCGGCACAAATTGTAGTAGTTATGTATAGAAATGTTAAAGCGAAAATCCTACGCAGGAAGTAGGATGGGAAAAAAAATTTTAACTCCATGTTGAAATATAAAAATTTGCACAAACAGTACGGAACTAAATTGGAGGGTTGGTGGACAAGAGTTGCAGTAGTAGTGATAGTATCTTCTAGGCAGAGGCTTCAGCTATAATGGAGGTGCTAAATAAACTCGAAACCGATAAACCTGGTAAAGATGTTTTGATTTTCAGTAACGACACAGCCTGCAGGTCAAGACGTAGGTGCTGGACTGAACCTTTTTTAGATCATTTAAATTTGAAATGTTCTTAGGTTGCTTAAACAATTGTTTGATTAATATATGTATGAACATAATACTTCTAGACTAATATATGAGTGGCTTGAGCATCATATAAAATTATACTTAGAAAGGAAGGGTTTGGCGAAGGGAAACATTTTGAAAGGTGCACTAAACCAGGGGCGCACCCAGGAAAATATTTTGGGAGGGGTTTATACTTCTGAAAGTTCGCTTCAGAAAATATGCTCTTTAAGGTATATTTATGCAAGCTTTTTCGTAAATTGCACTTTATTTACATAAAATTAGCAAAGAACTCAAACATTTGTAACCGACTTCGAAAAAGGGAGAGGTTGTCAATTCGTCGGAATATTTTTTTTCTTTTTTATGTATGCTACCGCATAACTTTGAACCACGTGAACCAATCTCAACAATTTTTTTTTTTTAATCGGAAAGATGGTACCTCAAGGGTCGTCCCGTAATTTGAAAATTACTTGTTTAATATAAAGTTCTATAAACACAAGATGCGCTTAACTTTCAAAAGTAATACAAAAATTTAAAAAATTGTTTTAATGTTCATTTTCCTCAATTTCTGGTTTCTGGGTTTCGATTGATGTGGTGATTTTTGGGAAAAATTAAATGGACTTTCATTTTTATTATTTAGGTAATTTTGGTGGAACGAATTCGAAGTTGGTAAATTAAATTTTCGAATCCTTGTTAAGTACATATCAGTGGTAAACTCTTTTAGGCTGTAAGTTGTAAAAAACAACAGTAAGTGAGTATGCATTGCATATTTTTAGGACAATGGTTTCATTCGAAGTTAAATTTTTAAGAGCTCTCAATAAAAACGAAAAATTCATATAAAATTATGCAGAAGAAATAGAATAGAAATTTTCTCTATCAAAATTTCTTAAATAAGTGTGCATCTCCCAAGAAAAAAATGCTCGTATATTTATTTCTTCAAGAAAATTTACAGCAAAAGCAAAGTGCTATTAAATAAAAAATATTTCTCGTTATTTTGCTTGAGAGCCGGCTTTAGGATACAGTTTGTCTTTCAGGTTATTAGGTTTAGGGGGGGTTTGAACCCCAAAACCCACCCCTTGCGTGCGCTAATGCCCTAAACACTATCTCGGAAAATTTTGTTTTGAACTACTCGAATGTACATATATATACATATGCAATAAATAAATAAAACTTAAAAAATCGGGTTTAACGAATCACTTCTAAATTTTATTAGCTTTAATGTAAAATTAAACAAATCGGTTAAAAAGGGCAATCGCTACGCTTCCAGTTTTAAACCACTGTGTGTAGGAAGCAGAGTAGCATCGTAAAAATTAAATATCGAAATTTTTATCTTAAACTAAAAGGAAAGTGTAGCATAGTTTTTGCAACAATTTTCAAATTCAAATATACATCTAGTACACACATATTTGTACAAATTGAGGTAAGTTCATAAGCAATGAAGTTTAAAAAAAAGGTTTGCATAGTTGCGACAACTAGTTTTGTGCTTTGCTTCTTGTAAACGCAGGTATTTAATGCATCAAAACTTTGTGTATGTGCTCACATACCCTGCAGAAAAAAATTATCAATTGATAAAAAATATCCACTTTTAGTTAGATCTTTTGCAGGATTTCTACAAAATATATAACTTGTAGTTAGTTACAAACAGATAACTGGAAACGAGTTGACAAGTAAAGCAGGAGTAATGCAGGACATTGTTTCTTTAAAACGCGTTGCTATTTAAATATCCTGCACTTCGCAAATACTTTTTCGAATTGAGGACAAATAAAAGGAATATCGAAATTTCATATTATCATTTTGAAGTTATGTCTGACGGAGTTCGAATATGGGACCACCTACAGCAGAATATGTAATGTAATAAAATAAATAAAGCGATTAAAAAAAAAAATATAAAAAATTAATATTTTGTTTTTCTGTTATCAAAAAGTTGTTAGTTACAAGCTATTTACTTAAAATGAAGAGGTAACAACCCTTGACTACATTAATTCAGAGGTAAACCACCCATATTGCGGCCATCGCCATAGAAATATAGTTAGCTTTCGTCAAAGAAAATATACAGATAAAGTGAATTTTAGCTCCTTCCTAATCAACTTAAAGTTGGCTTATAAATAGTTACATATATTTCCAGCACGGTACGTACTAGGGATGTTAATTTTTCGGCTTTTTCCGATCCCGGGATTTTTGGGATGGTGTTGTCCAATCCGGGGATCGTGGGATTTAGATATTCATTACTTTTCAACAACTTGAATCGAAAAATTGCTTCTATATTGTTTGAAAAGCTCTCCTACCGTGAAATAAATAATAAATAAATGGGTTGAAACCTACTTTTTTATTTAAAGTGGGGTTTTTTATTTTTTCTCTCTGTCCGCAGGATTTTCAAAATAATAAATTTGTAATTTCAAAGATATGATTCATTCCAAAACTTGTTAAAAAAATTCAATGCAATGTAGAATAAAAATATGGGTAACAAATGCAATAGGAAATTTTTTTTAGAATTTAAAAAATAATATTTTTTTGGATTAACAAGAACGAATAGGTAATTTTTATGTTCACAAAGTTAGAAGAACGAAACACGAGAATGTTATCTAGTTTATATAAGCCCTTAACATATAATGTTTTCAAAATCAAATGAAGGGTCGCCGCGAAAAACGTTTTAAGCGCCATAATTATAAGTTTTCAGGAATGGAAAAAACGTTTCTGACGACGCACATAAAGTCATTTGATTTAGTTTTCCATTTTTCGGTGCAGCAGTCTCAAAGAAACTTGCCCGTGAATTAAAATGTACATCCATATATATCTTTTAAGTCAAAAAAAGATTTACAAAATGTTAACGATGGAAAAATGCTTCTTATATCCAAATCCCAACGGATGATACACATTTTTTCAGTAAGCCTATCATATTTGCTGGTGGCGCTTACAACCTTTTTCAACAATAACAACAATAAGTTTTGTTTGATTATTCATCATAGGTCATTTTAAAAAAATTGGAGAAATGCTTTTGAATAGTCTCAAATATGAAGTTTGAGCAGCGAAGAGAACAAGCGCAGTTGAAAATTTTTGGATTAAAAAACCAAAATTGATATTAACACAGCTCCTTCACTTACAATGTTTTTCAACATTGTCGTTTCTACTTACTTTGGAGCGTAGGATAATGTCCGAAAACTGATGGAAATGGAGAATTTTCGCTTATGATATGCGAGAGTATTTTTAACGGTAATCTGCGAAAAAAATTGTTTTGTTTGACCATGCAAATATTGCGAAATTTCATGGATAAAATTTTAAAATGACATTTTCAATATTTACCAGCCTTTTGCATCAGAAACTCGAATCTGTTTAAATTCGACAGGATTTCCGAATTAATTTTAACCCATACGTCTTCTCCAAGCTCATTTCTCTTAATTTTTAAATAATTTTTAAATTACTGACGTCATAGTGAAAAACTAAAAACGCAATTTTACTACATTTGGCCCATGGTTTCGCGAATATATTGATATTTGTGTTTAAAATTAACTATCACGCGGTGTTGTATGTGTAATGAGCTAGACATTTATAAAAAAATATTAATTATTAAATAAAAAAGAAATATAGACAATACTGGTCAAGAAAAGAAGTTTCTATTATTGCCATCAGTGCAAATTACAAATCCCGAAAATCCCGGGATTGCTTGCCAAGAATCCTGGAATTTTCGAGACCTTAAAAAGTCCGGGATCCCGGGATTAACATTCCTAGTACGTACATATAAGTATATAAATATAGTGTTAGGGCTTGTGTGTGTGTGCGTGCATACGAAAATGGCGTATATTTGCGCTTTTTGCAGCGCAACTTTTACTTTATTAGATATTTTTTTTGTTTTGTTTTTAGTTTTGCTAAAACTCACCGCACAAATGCATATCCTTTGTCCTTGAATACCCTTATCTCCTGAATTGTGCCGTAGGGAGAGAAAGTTTTCTGCAAAATCTCCTCGTTTAAAAAGCCGGACAATGCGCCATTGATGCCACCACAGTAGACAGTGCAATTAGTGGGGCTGCTTTGGTTGTACACTTCATCGAAGGTTAAAGGTTTGGCATTAACTAAACGGAAGAAAAGAGAAAAAACGAAACGAAACGAAAACAAAAAGAGGAAGTGGCAAACACAAAAGTGTGTGATGAAAAAGTGTGGGAAGAATTGTGTTGGTGTTTAAGTTTTTGTGGTAAAGTGAAAGGAGTAAATTATTATTTGTAGTTCGATAATGGATTTGATTTTTTGCAAACAAGACTTGAGTCTTAGCTTACCATCCAATTTTGTCGCCGGCGGTTTTCTTGTTGCCCAATTCGTGCGTATCGAACGCGAGCCCAACCACTGGCCATTCATGGCTGTAATGGCATTTTCCGCTTCCTGAAAATAGACAAAAAGCAAACAGAAAAGCTCAGTAAATGATTGCTTTTAATAACAAGAAAAGTAACACAAAACTAGTTAGTACATAACTATTTAGATGAGAGATGAAAGGCAAACGAAGAAAATCCGACCAACCTAAGCATATTTTAATTGCATTTCTGCACTACTTGGCAGAGTCAAAGTCGATCAGAGTTAAAGATTTATACAAAGTAAATATACGGGTATGTATGTGTGTGCATAAAAAGTTAGCATACATATAACGAATGCGGCGCAGTGTACACGCCGCTATGCTGGCCATTGAATGATTGGAGAATAAACAAGTGAACCGGCTGAGCGCTGGAAAGATACATAAATAAATCTGCTTTTGATAATCTGCTGACGATAAAGCGAACGATAAAGCACACGCTGAGCAATCGAAGCCCGCAGCAATTCGCAAAGAAAATAATTTCAACTATTCGCTTTTCGCCTTTGCAAATTATTTAAAAGTAGCAAAGCAAACAAATTCTGCAAGCCATGGCTATTTGAAAGGATAGATACTTAAATGACGAAAGGACGACACTATTGCCAAGTGGTGAACTAATCCGTTAGCTAAGCTGAGGTGGTGGCTACACAGTGCATTGGACGTATGCAGATACTCGGCAGCAATCAACGTCGTTCCTGTCGCGTTGGCTGTTGCTGAATCTTTTTCGTTGTGGCTGTTGGTGTTGCTGCCAAACTCAACAAATTCCTTGCCTTACCCATTGTTGTTGGCTGCATTTTACCATAGGGTGCTTCAATTGGCTACCAACATTCAGTTCACATTCTCAGCCACTTGCCACAAGTTGGTAATGCTGCCTGCATCACTACGACTGCCTTTAGCGACGACTTAATGGCACAAAACTTAAATTGACTTTTCGACAATGTCAACTCAGGGCATCAATGGAGCTCAGAATGGCTGAGGAAAAAACCAAATACGAAAAGGGGAAAGTGGCAAACGAAATACAGAATGAAAATTGTTGCAGCAAAGTGTAACAATAAAAAAAAGCTACAGCACAAAGAAAACTATCAAAAAAGTAAGCAACTACTGAGCGCTATGGCAAGTAGCATAAACAACAAGTTTGACAAAATGCAACAATAACAGAGCAAAATGAAAAAAAGTACCGAAAATACATGAAAGTGTTGAAAGAAAAATGAAGTGGAGAACACGAAAAAACTTTATCCTTTTGTTTTTTTTTTTTTTTGTTTTTTTGTTTTTGGCAGCGAAGTTTTGCGATTTGGGCTTTTGGGATGTGAGCGAATGCCAATAGCAGCACAATGTAATGCTGATAGAGACACCGTTGCGCTGTTATACGGCAGAGCGCNGGGCTTTTGGGATGTGAGCGAATGCCAATAGCAGCACAATGTAATGCTGATAGAGACACCGTTGCGCTGTTATACGGCAGAGCGCGTGGAAATTTATTTCAATGCTACCAGCTGAAAGGCGGTAAATAAAGCTTCGTGGAATTGTTAGCGAAAATGGCTTTAATTTAAAAGAAGAAATAACTACGAAATAGGAATTAAAGTAAAAAAAACCTTCGACGCACTACTCGCAAAGGGGCTAGCAAATAACATGAACTTAAGTTTCAGAGGATAGATCGAAAAAAATCAGTATTTACAGAGACTGAATAATTAAAAAACTCAATTCCGTTGCTTATCGTAAACAACTAGATAATCCCAAATGGATGAAGGAGAGAAAGAAGCGAAAGAGGCATTGGTTGGAATTGATTAACAAAAATACGAATAGGTACTACGTATGTATATCGTTCAATTGGATTTGAACGGCGCAAGCTACATATTACTCACAAAGTTCACCCTGTAATTTTAAATGTAACCACTGTACTAAAATTCGATCCGCGAAGCTTCCTTTTAATTATTTTTTTTTTTTTTTTAATAATAATCAATTATAAAGAAAACTTGCGAAAATAGGCTTTATGGTTAGGGTGTCAGTGGCAAAAATACATCGATGTGTTTCCTTTATATTTGACGTAGATATTTTTAGCTACATTGGTAGGCATACAACGCATAATCGATTTGCATTTGATTTTTCAGATATTACTTTACAACAAAGTATGTTATTACAAAATTGTGCAAAATTTAAAATTATTTACCATAACTGAGCTAATTGTTTTCTAACGGACTGCTGAATCGGATCTACTACTTTTTCATAAAACTTGAGAAATCATAAAAATTATAACTTTTGAGTCATGAAAAATTTTCCTTAACCCCACCAACAAATATTGTATCAAATAATTTTTTTCTCGGAACAAGTTTTTAAAATCCTCCCGGATCTTCACGATTTGATTAATTTTACATGAGGAAAGGCATTTAAAATATTTTATATTTCTTTTCAGCCCAGAAAGTTTTGAATTTGAAGAAACGTACACGAATATTCCAGCCATACGAAATATGTGGAAAGATGTATAAATAAATAAGGTGTAGCAAATAATACTGTTTTTAAAATTTTCATTTATTAAAATTGAGCTTATGTAAATTATAACAAAAGTAATATTTGGTTTCCTTTCAGGCAATAAAAAATTATGAATTATGAAAAATTATACATTTTCAAACGTGCGAATAAAAATTTACTCTGTTATTTTTATTCGTGAAGTTATTTTATCTACCCAATTAAACTGCACACCAAGTTAAAAGGAAATATGTACATTGTATTCGAAAAACATACAAAAATCTTCGAGCGACTTATCTGAGGTACACGGCAATACGACCGGCTGCTCCAAGTAAACGATCGATACTAAAGTAAACTGGTATCTGAATATAATACGTATTAGTTTCAAATCTGTTCTAGTATATTCCTCGGATACAAAAGAACATAGAGACCCTCCCTTTGCTTCCCTTTTCACTTTAATGTACTACATCTTCTCAAAATTCACAAGTTTACGCTCCAGCTGATTACAGATTAAACAGTAATTTGTATAGAATATGTCCTTTTATATATTCCCAACGTTGGATTGGTACTAAAAGATCTTCGTTAAAAATAAATCAATATACATTTAATACACAGTATTATACTAAGTTTCCCAGGTACCCGGTTGGACGACACCCACCTGGATGTAATTAATGGTGATATCGTTTCTACCAAAAAAGGTNGAATTGAAAGACTTGTACGAGGAGTCGGTTATGTTTTATTTCCGCTTTGCCATACTCAGCTGCGTCCATTGAGAGGTCGTTCAGCATACTTCGGCGTATCAAAACTTGGCTACGATCAGCGTTCATCACCAACTGGTTGAGCAAATAGGAGACGAGCTTACAGAAAACATTTTAAAGAGATTTTCTGAGGATACCAGAAAACTTGTACATACCTTCTTAAACCCAAAAATTTCTAAAAAGCCCTAAAGGCAAGTAAACTGATTAGTATGTATTTTTTTTTGGAAATATAACGTTCTTAGAAAGGGGGTCTAAACAAATGATATGACATTTTGTATTATGAATTTTAGTTTTCTCTCCCGGTTTGCCCAACCGGTTTTTGTTTTATCAACTGTCACCACGACTTTTGTCCACCTGCCTTCACATAGTCGAAACAATGTGCGGCGCCACTTAAAAGTGGCGAATTTTTCGCTGATTCTAAAGAACAAGAGCGAATGAAATTTCGTGTTTACTCTGCCTCATAAAATGAGCCGGTTGCTGGCACGAATACGATTTAATTTTTATACACTTTAAGTAATCTCTTACGTATGAAGTTCTGTCAACACTAGGCATATGACTTTTATCTTAAATAGGAGGGGAGAATTAGAAGTGATGAAAAACCAACAAAAATTTTGTTTTTGTCAAAATTAGGTACAAAAAGTCCATATATTATTATCTCCAGAACAAACTCGCAATATTAGCTTTGTTCCACATGTTTTCCGGGCTGTTTCGGTAATTAGGGAGTAAAAATAAGTTACTGTCTCACAATTGTCAAAATAGTGTATAAACGTGCCACAGCGTGAGGATAGCAAAAACCACAGTGTTCGAACCCGGAATTAACAAATTAACTGATTTACTTTTTTTTTTGCGATATGACATGTGCAGAAAACAGTTAAAGTGTATTCAGTTGAAATTTCAATTCAATTTAATCACCACATTTTCACTTTACATCCTCTATTTNGCTGTTTTACTTATTCCTTTTTTTGCGATATGACATGTGCAGAAAACAGTTAAAGTTTATTCAGTTCAAATTTCAATTCAATTTAATCACCACATTTTCACTTTACATCCTCTATTTCATTTGAAAAATATGTAAAATACTTTAAACATTTGCTGAGCTTTCATTTCCGAGATTCTGAAAGAATTTCTTTTGTGGCTAATAAAGTTAGCAAATATCTAAATTTTCTGATTCTTTAGAGGTATTTTCATTTTTGTGTTTTATAAAATTTGCTTACGGGTGTAAAAAAACAACAGATATTAAGGCAATTTGAGTTTTTGTACATTGGTGCTCGGAAAAAAAGGTTGTGCGTAGAGGGAAAAGAGAAGGTAACATTTTTTGGTAGAAACGGAAACGCCATAAAACAAAGCTAGGTACAAAGATGAGGACAAAAATAAGAAAAAATATACAGATTAAGAAAAGGATAGAGGCAAAGGTAGAGATAGAGATAGAGAGAGGGAAAGAAATAAGGATACAAATACAACGATAAAGATTAAAGTGAATTGCTATGTCTTGTAGCTCACCTCAACTCAACACACTACAACTAAATTTAACCCAACTCGACGCACTTCATTTCAATTCTCCTCACCACACCTAAATTTAGCTCAACTCACTGCAACTGATCTCATACCTATTCACCTTAACCCACCTCAACTGACCTTATCTCAACTAAATTCACCTCACCTCAATTAAACTCACTTCAATACGCATCAACTCGCCTTAACTCACTTCAGCTCAGGGCAGAAAATCACGTAAGCCGAAAGAGCCAGATTAATATCTGATCAAGGACCGCCGCACCAGCAAAACTCCACATAAATTTTTTGTGGAATTTGTGTGCTGTTAAAACAGCAACAAATAAGTATTATTTCTGAATTGATCAGCGAATCTAATTACAAATAAAATAGATTTTTGGATTTGTGATTTGATCACTCAATCCAACTAAGTTCAGTAGATCGAAATATTCAACTTTCAGGATTATGGAAAAACTAATGAATCGAGGGAACTTTCACTTCCCCACCGTGGCCTTGACGCGTTCTTCCTCTTGCTTTTCCAGTGTAAATTTGCAACAAGCTGATAAGTAATTTCACCTTTATTATTTATCTTTTTATGTGAAGAAGACA